ATATAATAATATATGATATAGCCACTAAACAAAAACAATATATATAAAATTATACATGATACTTCGAAGCACCTTGTGCTCAGATAGTATATAGTGATTTTCCCATATGAGAAGTCATGAGATCGAGTCTCAGTGGGTACGTGCTTGGCAGAAGTAATACATTTGATCCCTCAAAAAGTAATTGGAGGTGTTTGGTAAATACCTGTTAGTTAATTGGGTTAGTGAGTTTGACTAGCTGATTGTAGAAAGATGTTTAGTAAATTAGTTGTTAACCGATAGCTGATTACATACAAAATTATTTTAATTTCTCAAAAAGCTTATCAAAAAAGTTATTTTAAGCCATTTTTTGAATTTTGGCGATTTAGAGCAATAAGTTATTACAAAAAAAAAAAATTAATTAATCATATACTCTTATATTGATTGTTTAACTAAGTCAAACAGTTAATAATAATCAATTGATAACTTAATTATATTCCCAAATAAGGCCAGTGGCTTGTAGAGTGATCCAAAATAGGCTCTACCTATTTAAAATAGTGTCTACCTAAGTGGACAAAGTAACCCTGCCCATGTAACTTGCGAGGTTAACCAATGTAATTCACCCAACCTCCAAAGTTTATCTAAATACTAGTTTTTTACGCGCATTGCGCGATTGAGATAATGCCCAATGTTTTTTCTTTTTTTAAATAAGTACTTTAAAGTATATCAAGGCAAGATTATATTGGAATTATTCATGCATAGATAATTGAATGTTAAATTTGTGTATTTAAATAGGCAATTCTAAGTTTACAAATGCAAAATAATATAGTCAAGATTGATTATAATTGTCAATGAAATAATTCTATAGGTATGGTTGAAACCAAATACGGGACATAAGGAGAGAAAATAAAAATTTGTGCATAAAATATTAAATATATACTAATATTGAAGAGCTAACTCCTGATTGCCAAACAAGGACATTGCGAGATAGTTTCCACTTCAATTTATTGTGTGATTTGAATACTCTTTTTGTAAATAAATCTCCAAAGTAGTTAATATGATTGGTTTAATTATATTTTTTTATTTCTTTATTTTTTTAAAACAATTATTATTATTATTATTATTATTATTATTATTATTATTATTATTATTATTATTATTATTATTATTATTATATATTTTTAATTTTTTCATCGTATTAATAAAATACTTGGTAAATAAATATATAGCACTATTTTGTATTATAACTTTGATATTTAATTAAAAAATAGTGCACAAAAAAAGATAATAGACAATGTAGTGAATATAATCAATTGATGAATTTGTACATTGGAGAAATATAAAGACAATATAACTAATAAAATTATTTCTCTTAACTAATTTATTGATAATGAATAATTTTTTTTTTTAATAAAGACATTGTAGGGACAATGTAGCGAATATAATCAATTGATAAATTTGAATGTAAAGAATTTTTATATTGGAGAAAAATAAATACAATATAACTAATGAAATTATTTTTCTTATTTAATTTATTGATAATGAATAATTTTTTTGAATAAAGACATTGTAGACACATAATTCTAAATTAAAGAAATGCATATGTATTATTTTTTGTTGTAGCTACTAAATTATTATTTAATTTAATAAGAGTAAAATAGAGTACTAATTATGCCAATTTTGATTGGGATGGGGTTCGAACCTAAGACCTTTCTTATTGAATTCAATGAGTAAGTTAACGGCGAACTAACAGAAATTAACGGAAAAGATAATATTTAACGGAAAAATTAACGAAAAATCATATTTATTAAGGATAAATTAGGAAATCTTAAGAAAAAATTAAAATCTGATCAATCTGAGCCATTCATTTGATTAAAAAATTTGACCGCCATTTTTTCTACCCATTATAGGCCTAACTCTCTTGGCCTCTTATTAGTATATATATATATATATATATATATATATATATATATATATATATATATAGTAGATATTTTATAGTTCAATTAATTTATTATTTAAAATTTTTGTTATAGGAAAATTTGGACTCTTTAATTTAATCCAATCCATCCTTGTTATATGCTACTAAGCTAATGATTTATTAGTTATAAGTTTATAACATTAACATAGTTAAGTACAAGTGCCGTTTGGATTTCAAATATGTATTAAGACTCTATGTATTTGAGTTAGATTATAATGTACTGCATGTCAGCTAAGGAAATCTGCACGTTTTTCTTTAATGTTCAAAGATACTTTCTCAACCTAATGAAGCATAAAGAGCCAACAACCCCTCCACTAAGACTTGATCTCATGACCTCTCACATGGGAGAGATCACTACATGCCATCTAAGCACAAGGTATGTGCTTGACCATGTATTATTTATTTAGTTTACACAGACATTTGGGGACCAGCTCCCATTCTTTCAAATAATGGATATCGTTACTTCGTTATATTTGTTGATGACTACTCTCATTACATTGGATTAATAGTATCATTTTTCCTAAGCTTAACTACACTTGCATGGCTTAAACTTAATAACAACTATTGAATTTTGTCTAATGATTTCTCTATAAGTTTCCTCATATTCCATCCTTAGACCTGTTTGGTAACATAGTTAGCTTAGTCAATTTTGACTTATTTGACCATTATTAACTGTTTGACTTGGTTAAACATTCAATATATGTGTTTGATTAATTAGCTTTTGTTGACAACTTATTACTTCATAATGCTAAAATTCAAAAAAGATGCACAAAACAACTTTTTCGATTAGCATTTTGAGAAAGTCATTTTGCATGTAATAAGCTATTAGCTAATAGCTAATTTACCAAATATATTTCTACAATCAGGTAGTACTATCAACTACTCAAGCCCACTAACCCAATCAACTAACAACTATTTACCAAACACCTCTTTAGCCTATTGCAAATTTACTTAGGTAAAAGAAACAAATGAAAAGTTTGTCGAAATTTGACCTGATGTCATCACAACATCAAATATCGTGTCAATCATTTTAAATCAATATATATATATATATATTATATTTCACCATAAGAATATTATTTTAACTTTATGATATCTCCAAATATGAGGTCTAATATATGGTAGCATATATAATATAGTGAAAAAGATATGCACAAGAGATAGTGACTTAAAGCAAGAACACTATATGCCACAAACCATAAGTGAAAGTCATCGTCTGCCCACATCGCTTTTGCTTAAATGTGCAAGTAAAAGTGACAACATATAAGACGTGAATCATGCATGCATATGTACATATTTTCTCTTTGCCAAACCATTCCATGTTTAGGAATAATCTTTATTTTAAAAAAGCTGCATGGTATAATTAATCATTGATGTCAAGTACGAATTACATTGTTAATATGGGCTTCTCTTCAAAATTCAAATTCAAGCTGCTGTAATTTTTAATTTGCATACTAATAAGGGAGCGTTATGCTGTGCATCCGTATGCAACATGCATGATGCATACGGATGCAAAAACGACGTCGTTTTGGCGTCTAACTTAAAATAAAAAATAAATAAATTAATTAATTAAAAAAAAAAACAGAATTTCATAACTACACATCCATAATTTCATAACCATACTTCCAAAATTGCATAAGTACACTTCCAGAATTGCATAACTAAACTTCCAGAATTGCATAACTACACTTCCAGAATTGCATAACTATAATTCCAGAATTGCATAACTACAGATCCATAACTTCATAACTACACTTCCAGAATTGCATAACTACACTTCCAGAATTTCATAACTAAAAAATCCAAAATGAATGGACTAAAAATGAATAACATAATGTTGTTGCTGGGAATCGAAACAGATTTTTTTTCTTAAGTAGGGCGCGCATTTTATACAAAACGACATCGTTTTTGCATCCGTATGCACCCTGCACAACATAATTTGCCCTAATAAGTACTCTGTATTTGTTAGCTAGATCAGACCTACAATGTTATCAGTGTCACAAATTTTTTTTTTATTCATAATTACTTGTGAATTATATTAATTATTTTGATGTCAAGCACATTGTGTTCAGATGACACCTCGATCTGTGAATTTTCTTAAGGAAAAGTCACAGGATCAATTAAATTCCGATGGTAGGGTTGAGCTGCAACAGATAGAGAAAACATAGAATACATACTAGTTTGTAATAGAGTCGATAATATTTCAAAATAATAATAATAGATTAAGAGTATTGCATGTATTTTGGGACACAAATACGGGCAGATGATTTGAAAAGTGCATTACCCATGCAGCCTTACCACTAATTAAATACTCCATTCATGTTATGTTTCTAATTCAGTTAACGTGGCTAAAGTTATTTTTAATTCAATTTTTTTATAATATTAAATTTAGTATTAATATACAAAATTTATATATTTAGAAACTACAATAAAACTATTATTAAAGGTAAAAATTTCAAATTTAAAAAATAAAAAAAATACTAAAGAAAATATAAAAAGAGTCGGTTTGACCAATATAATAAATATGATATGTAAAATGGGACAGACAGAATAATCCTCCTATTTAAGCTTTGGCAGGCATTTCATTAACTAGGAACTACTCCCTCCATTCCATTTTATGTGTCTGATTAGATTAACGAGGCTTGACTGGAGTTATTTTCAATTCAATTTTTCATAATAGTAAGTTTAGTATTAGTATACAAAATTTATATATTTAGAAACTACACTAATTGTACTACTAAACACAAAAAATTAAATTTAAAAATAAGTAAAAAATAATAAAGAAAATAAACAAAGAAGAAAGAGTTAATTTGACCAATGAATAGTAAGTAAGATAGAATGAGTACTTTTTTTGGTGTACTTATGGTTTCCACCTTCGGACATAGTGACTAATAGGTTACTCCATACCCAAAGTCATGACCGAACCCTTGATCTTTAGTTAAGGATGGATGAGTCTCTTCCACTCAGTCACACCATAAAGTTATTAACTAGATACTAGGAACTACTGAACTCTCACAAAATGCAAAAATTATAAGACTCTGCATATGTATAATTTGTATTAATCTAAATAGTAAAAAGTTAACCAAAGTTTAGCATTGAAACTAATAAACTCTTGAACATAAGCTTCTTGATGGCTTAATACTAGAAATGCTAAATTTATTGAATTGCCATTATGAACTGCTAAATAACCTCTACTTTAATTTCTCTGCATGCTCACTACATTACCAATAAAACTCATCAGGTGCCTCATCAACACAGAAGATGTTGCAAGAATCCTCTGTGCAGCCAAGGCCCCCAGATCGATCCTCCACGTTGGCGAAATCCGACCGTTGATCAACGGTTGAGATTTTGTGCATTAACTGCAGAATATTGAGGCTGCAATCTTCATTGTTGTTCAAGACTCCACTTGAATCATCACTATCTGGTGAAAGTTGGGAGGTATTATAGGCTGCTGCATAATTGGTTGTTCTGTGCTCTTGGTTTTGGGAACCTAAATTGATAGTAATAGGTTCTTTAGCAGAGTGATGGAGCCCTGCATTATTTTCTTCTCCAATCTTCTGTTTTAGCCCTTTTAGCTGCCAATTGAATAAAAGTGTTAGGATCAAACACTTACCACTATGCCAAAATGTTATAGCTAGTACTCTAGTAGCGAAGACCTAACTTTATTTCCTTATACCGTCACATATTTTCGAAAACCAGAGTGTTGGCCTTGGCAAATTTTTCTGTGTGCTCCATGAATATAAGATACATTTTGAATATACTAAAAGTACATTATTTGTGTACTGAATGTATATTATTTGATAGTATACAAAATAATTTACTTTCAGTACTCAAATAATATAATTTATTTTCCATGGATAAAAGATACATTTTTAATATACTAAAAGTACATTATTTGTGTATTGAATATACATTATTTGATAGTATATACAAAATAATGTACTTTCAGTACTCAAATAATGTACTTTATGTACACAAATAATGTATTTTTTTATTTGTGGTCCACTGTGGACGATAGTCCATAAAATAATGATCCATTAGACTTAGCCTTCTACCCGTCTCTGCCCAATAATTCCTTAACTATATGATACTAGACTTACTCCTTACCGGCCTCCCCCAACAAAAAGTAAGGGAAATGATATATGCATGGGTTTTAAAAACTTCAAACAAGCATATATTTACATAATTACTTGTGAACACACACACACACATATATATAATATACCTCTGCAATCAAGCCTTCTTTTTCTTGTTCAACTTTGGTATAATTGAGGTGAAGAGCTTCATAGTTAGCCTTGAGGAGGGTGTAGTCCCTCTCCATCTGCTTAGTTTTATGGCGGGCGCGGCGGTTTTGGAACCATATGGCTACCTGCTTTGGCTGGAGCCCTGTCTCTTGTGCTATCTTTACCTTCCTCTCAGGGTCAAGTTGCCTGTCTTCTTCAAACACTTGTTCCAGTGCCTTCACTTGTTCTGCACTTAGTCTCTTCTTCTTCACATTCATCTCTTCCATGCTTTCCTCATATTCCAATCCTTCCAGCATTCCCCCCACAAACTCACCTATAATGTCAAAGACAATGAAATTGCTCATTCATTTGGGGTGACGAGAGAAACCAGCAGCCACTACTCGAGGGTATACACTGGCTAAACCCCGTCTTATGACCCTATCCGACAAAAGATTACAAGGAGGTAAACCAGCCCAGATTACTCATAGTTAGCCGGCTCAAATCAAGAAGGCTGGAATTCGAACTTGTAACCTTGTATCTTTAGTCATTTTGGCTGAGTTACCTGAAATTGCTTATTCTTGCATATAGAGTTTATTGTGAGGTAGAAGGGAATTGGTAGAACATAATTAATTACCTTTGTGTGGATAGAGCAAAGTTGTTGAAGAATCAGAAAAGGTGAACCTCTTCATGATTGAAACTTAACACTCCAAATCTCTTATGGGGTTATCAAGAAATGAGGTGAAGAGACACAGTTGAGAGAGATGTTGAGCTTTGCTGGCTGGCTGGCTAGGTATAAGGTATGGGTAAAGTGAGATGGCAAAGCCAAAGTCTAAAGGCTGCAAAGGTTTGCCAAGAGAGAGCAAAGGAAAAGGAGAGAAAAGGGATTGCTTTTCATCATTACCAATCAATCAAAACCCAATCAAACAGCTGAGGGATATATATATAAGTAAAAGAAATGGAGTTTATTTTCTGCTAGCTCATCCACCTTTTTTTCCGATGACTAAGAAAAACTCATAATTACTGTGTCCTTAGTTGACAAAAAATCACAATAAGATAAACTAATATAAGGTATCTATAGCAATGCGGTTCAAACTAAAAATGCTAGAATTTAAATTTGTGACCTTAGAAGTTTATATCCTTGCTAACTTGATTTGGGGTTACCCCACGGCCCCACTCATCCATATTTTTCTCTTCAGGGATGAGAACATACACTCTCATTCCAATGCTAATAAATTTCTCATTTTTACCCGTTTCTCCTTAAATTCTAAAAAAATTCTCACTCCAATGCTAATAAATTTCTCATTTCTACCCGTTTCTCCTTAAATTCTAAAAAAGTTAAAAGAGGAGTAGAAACGAAAAATATGTTGAATCCAGATTAGTCTCACAGTAACTAGATTAAATATAGTATGTAATTTTATTTTATGAGTGATCACACACTTCTATACCAAAAATGATTCAACATTCAATTTTTTATTCTTATTAGAAGTGTCATCACTTATGAAATGTATTTTTTATAGACGCAAATTGTTATATTCGGTCACATCAACTATTCATAGAGATATTACATATTTAAATATTTTAAATATTATGCTTAAATGACACTTCTGTGGCTCCTCTTAAGTGAAGGTCACAGGATCGAATCCTGGTGGTGAGATATTGATTCTTTGGACTGCAGTAGTTAGAGAAAGTATAGAACAGATACTACCTTCTCGGTGGTGGGGTATTGACTCTTTGGACTGCAGTAGTTAGAGAAAGTATAGAAGATACTACCTTGTAATAGAGTCAGCACTACTTATTGTCGCATCTTATGTGTTGGGTTGATTAAACAAGGTTTGATTTTTTTTTTTTTTTTTTTTAGAATAAGTTCCAAATTGGCCATTATTAAATATAACCTGAAAATACAATTAGGTCACTGAACAGAAAAAAAGTACAATTAGGATATTGAACACCCCAAATGTATGTAATTTCACCTGATAGCAGGTTACCATTCATTTCATCAGATTACCTGCTTACGTGGATGGTGAGTTGACATTTTTAATCATTTTTAACAATAAACTGAGGTCGTGCTGACTGCTGAACATGGTAACTATGGGGGATGCTTATCACTCCCATCTGAGGAGGAGGATCATGAGGTGAACGATTTTGAGGTTGAGAAATTAAAATATGAGGGTTATCGGCCGTCGTGCTAGAGGGCGAGGTTGCCCAAGCCGCGGTGGTTGAGGCATGCTAATGTTATTCATTTTTTTTTTGTTTGTCTTAGTGGGTTTGTCCCCATTTCTTTGAGGGAAGGTTTGTGCCTCCATATATATTTGTTGTGGTGTATTATATTGTTTCTTTTGACTTAATAAAATTTGAGTTGTTTTAAATTAAAAAAAAAAAAATTAAAAACCCTGAAAGTTTTGGAAAATGACTATTTTTGGAAGTCATTTTTTAGGTCTCCAAATAGACTCTAACAGCACGTTTGATTCACAGAATGAATTTAGAGTGAATATGAATGCTATTCCACAGAGAATGAAATAGGTAAGGAATAGAATAGGAATTGTATTCTATTGTTTAATTTACTGAAGGAATAGACTTTAGTAATTGTATTCCGATGGTGAAAATCATGTGCTGCAAAAAAAAAAAATAATAATAATAATAATAAAATAAAAAAAATTACCCACTCTATTACAATGCTTTTAAATTAGTATTTAGTTTGCTTTATTTAAGTATTAAATCATTTGGAAACAAAACAATATTTTTTTGGTGAAAACCACACATTGTGGTCCGGGTCTTTCTCTGTCCATGTAACGGTCCAGGTCCACTCGATTCGCTAAGCTGGCCCAAAGGGAATCGTCACTTTTGAGAATCGAACTCAAGTTATCCTAGAATTCTCCCCCACAAAAAGAGCTCATTTGCCACTTGAGCTACCCTATTAAGTTGGATACAAAACAATATTATACTCCATAACTCTTTTAATTTTTATTAATATGTCTTTTATTGTATTATTTTACTGAAAATTTAAAGAAAACATCAGAAAAATAATTTTATTCCAGGGTCTAATACAATATATTTTCTAGAAACTTGCAAACTAATTTTATTCAATTAAATATTTTCCCAAATGTTTAAAATTTTAGAATTAAATTAATTTAATATTGTTTCCAAATGTTAATCAAGTAAAATTAATTTAAAAGTTTCTTAAAATGTATTATAAAGTTCTTAGAATAAAAATTTAAATATTTAATTAAATAAATAAAATAAAAGACATAATATTAATCAATAATAAAAGGAGTTGCATTATGGCACTATATATTTTGCTTTCAAATAATTCAGTACTTTTTTTTTGAACGTAAATAATTCAGTACTTAAATAAACTAAATGAAATATTAATTAAAAGGTATTATAGTAAAGTGGTTACAATTTCAAAATATTATATAAATAGCGCATCGATGGTGGGTGAAGATGACATTACAAGGTTTGTGATGTGGATATAACAATGGGCAAATTATTGTTCACACAGTGTTATGTGGAGCATAACAAAAAGTACATTTTTAATATACTAAATGTACTTTATTTTTGTACTGAATGTACATTATACAATATAATGTACACTCAGTATACAAATAATGTACATTCCCTGAATACAATGTACATTATTTTACAGTATAAAAAATATGGTCCACACAATAAGGGTTGATAACAATGTATAAATGATTTGGGAAATAAGTCTTTAAGCATCTTTATTTGAGGAATAAGGGCCAAATTGGCCACTGAATGAAAAAAAACGTGCAATTAGACCACTGAACACTCCAAATATATGCAATTTCACCTAAAAGCATGTTACCATCCATTCATTAGGTTGCCTACTTTACGTAGATGGTGAGTTGACATTTTAAATAATTATTAATAATAAATTTTTAAAATAAAAATAATTTTAAAAAAAAGGATGAGTGGCCGGCGGCCACCCCTTCCTACCCCCTCCTCCTTTGTCTCCAGTTGGAGACGAAGAGATTTGTCTTCGTCTCCAAACCGGAGACAAAGGAGGGGAAAGGGGGGTGGCGTGAGACAGATCCTTCGTCTAAAGCCACCCCCTTCCCCCCTCCTTTGTCTTCGTCGGAGACGAAGGAGGAGGGGGAAGGAGTGGCGGGCGGCCACCCGACGTTTTCTTTTCTTTTCTTTTTTATTTTTTTTTAATTTTAGTTTTAAAGTTTATTATTAAAAATTATTAAAAATGTCAACTCACCATCCACATAAGCAGGCAACCTAATGAAATGGATGGTAACCTGCTATCAAGTGAAATTGCATACATTTGGGGTGTTCAATGGTGTAATTGTAATTTTTTGTTCAGTGACCTAATTACATTTTTAAGTTACGTTCAGTGGTCAATTTAGACATTATTCTCTTTATTTGATAGTATCCATTTTGAAAAAAAAAAAAAAAAAAAAAAAAAAAAAAAAAAAAAAAAAAACTCAATATTACCAATAAGGAAAGAAAAAGGAAAGAATTTCATTTAAATAATTTTATATAGAGTAATAATACCCACCCCTCCAAAATTTCTATCTCCTAATCTTTCATCCTAACATGATTTTTTTTTTTTCTTGGATGATTTAGTTTTTGTCTTTTTGATAACGAATTGGGAAACAAAGCAATTTTCTTTTTATATATGCACAAAATTTAATATACAAATTTGAACATGCATATATGTCATTATTCACAAAAGAGAAAATGGTCAAATAGGCCCCTAAACATTTTGCTAAAGGTCAATTAACCACACAAACTTTTGAAAAGGTCAATTGAACACATGAACACATAATTTTGAGTCATTTAATCCCATTAACCAGTAACTTTTACCTGGTGAACCGGTAATTGACACCGTGGCGTGACACATAAGCGTTGGAGTGGGTACTTGGCTGTCACATAAGCATAAAAAAATTAAATTAATAAAAAAAGAATTTAAAATTAGCCCTAAATTCTTTTTTTTATTAATTTAATTTTTTTAATTTAATATTTTTATGCTTATGTGGCAGCCAAGTACTCACTCCAACGCTTATGTGTCACGCCACAGTGTCAATTACCGGTTCATCAGGTAAAAGTTACCGGTTAATGGGGTTAAGTGACTCAAAATTGTGTGTTCATGTGTTCAATTGACCTTTTCAAATGTTTGTGGGGTTAATTGACCTTTAGCAAAATGTTTAGGGGCCTATTTGACCCTTTTCTCTTCACAAAATTATTGACTAATCTACGAGTAAGAATTAAAGATTTATTCATTCACATTAGTGTGCAAAAATTTACATGCAAAAAAATGTCCTTTCACTTATTATGCTGCCCAGCTAGATATGTTCGTATGTATATGTGCATGGAGTACATCTTTCTTCTTTCTTTTTTCCTTTAAAGACGAGAATTGACTTTTGCGTTTTTGACATTTCCCCCCTTTTTTTCTCTTTTACTTTTGGTGTTGTTTATCTGTTTAATTTCTTCTTCTTTTTCTTGTTATCTATTCTTTTTATTTTACGTTTTTAATATATTAGAGGAGTTGTGAGACTACCTCCAACTAGCTAGGATAGAAAATAATTGTTTCCAAAATGTTGAATCTCTCATTATAAGGTTTCCCCACGTTTCAACCCGACAGAGCATCTAAAATGATGTAAATCATGGTAACTCAGTTGAACATAGAGGTTAGACATTTGCTTATTGCGCACAAGGAGCTCCCTCTAGCAAGGATAGAAAATAATTCTTCAAGAAGATGGGTGCGGCGTTTGGTTCAGTTATTACATTGCTTGTCAATTTTACATTCCTAACAATATCAAATAGGGTTGGTCTCCAGTGAGACTGTCTCACGAGTCTCAATCTGTGATATGAATCGGATTGAATAAAGATGTGTCATATCAGAATTACATATATAATTAATATTTTAAGTCTTATATATAA